AATAAATAAATAAATAAATAAATAAATAAATAAATAAATAAATAAATAAATAAATAAATAAATAAATAGAGAGAGAGAGAGAGAGAGAAAAGCCAGAAGACAAAGGGAAGAGCTGAGAGGGAGGACACTGGAAGAGAGCTTGGACGCAAGGCGAAGAGAGAAAAGCGAAATGTTTACTTGGTCGATTATGAAGCCAAGTGTTAGTAGGAATGGAGGACATTTCGAGAAAAAGGTTGATCAAGAAGGATTGCCTTGGAGGAATGAAGACTGGCGGATTGTCGAACACGTCCTTGGCTCACCGTTCTACGGCTCCGATGAACCTGTGCTGAGTTTTTGTCGGTACCGTGGCAAACATCATGAGAGCATGAAATCATGCTTTACGCAATAAAGCTCCGATATACTAAGCCAGAAGAAAAGGTTGACAACTGCAATCTTACTCACTTTCACTTAAATCGCAGTCTTAATTGAGCATCCCCTGACTTGGTTGGCTACCTCAAACTTACTACACATACCTGCAGATGAGTGAAGTCAGTTCATGAACAGTGGAGGAGGTACACGAATAGACTAGCCCGTCTCATTTTAGGTATGTCCTATTGTCTTTTTTTGTGTGTGAAATGTGCTTGTCATGAGGTATGCGGTAGCTCCAACCGAACTCGAGGCTATTACAGTCTCTTTCTCTTGCTCACTGGTTCCTCCTACTTTCTCGCTCTCTTTTTCTCTACTTAAGTCTATACAACATTTATAACTATTTTGTACCAAATTTCACACACTTGTTTATCATAATCGGGATTTGCGATGTTTAGTTAATTGGTATATATTCCCTAACCTTACGCTTTGATGCGAATTTTCCGTACCCTGCAAAAATGTGTGATTTGGACCAGTCTATAAAGTTTCCTCTATTAGCCATGCCTTCGGGTAGTTCAGACTTTTGTCATTAATAGTCCCTTCGGAATGGGTCGGCAGATCTCCCCCCCCATAGACACTATCACATGAGCATAAAACCTTGTAAAATTCCGATCAAGAAAAAGGGTCAGAAAATTCTCAAAAAGAAGGCACGACTGAAGAAAAGTGTCGAGAAACTTTGCACCTAAGGTAAGTCGTAGTAACTAGGATTGTAACAAACTGGGGAAGATAAAGTATTCAATCTATCGCGTATAACTCTGGAGGATAGTGTGGAACTTTTATTGGAACCAGGACTGAATATTGCTCTCCTAAACCATTCTCTGAACATACTTGTTGAATTAATCAGCTTATCTGATAGATTGCCTGAAGAGGAGAAGAATAGTATTGAGTTGGAAGTATTCCTCATTTTTTGAACAAGTAATCGCGCCATAGCAATCATGTGTTCTAAATAAGGTTTCTGGATATTTAAATCGCAATAACCCAATTGTTATCAAAGCCGACACAGGTGGAGCAGTGGTAGTCATGGCTAGGTCAAGTTGTGTAGAAAAAAATGCTATTTCATTTAACTGATAGTGAGAGATCCAAAAGAAAAGCCCTTATGGTATGCGTAAGTAATGGTGGAATGGAGAAGTGGAAAACTAATCCATTACTCCAGAGAGATTCAAAGGTCCCAACAGTTAACGGCCTCCCTAATAATCATAATAATAATAATGGAAGAGTCATGCCTAAAACCTCACGTTTTTTATGCATACAACTAAAGAAAACTGCGAATTTTTGGCTATATTCAATTAAAAATTCTTATGAATTCGTAAATTTAATTGATCAGCAAATAATTTTAGAAGAAGATGGGATATGAAGTTTTGATGTTGTATCTACGTGCACAAATATTCCTATTCAAGGAACTATTCAGGTTATAGTGCAAACTCTGTAGAAGTATCCAGAC